ATCCATTCTTCTCCAGGGAACCACAAGGTTTATGTTTTATTTCCGCCTTTGACCCATTACATTTCAGCTTGTAAAGAAGTGGAAAAAAGGCAGGAACAAGGCACACATTGGAACCTGCCTCTCTCAACAGAAGATCTCGGTTCAAACCCAGAGAAGTGAGATCTTAACTGAAGAAATGAAAAGATCTCCTTAGAACACTGTGAAGAAAGAAGAACCCATTCTACAGTGATGAGTAAATTTTGTCTCAGAGCAGAGAAGTAACAGATACCTGCAAAAGAAACATGAGGACTTTTCTGCTTCAAATAAGCTGCTCCTACCGAAATGCCTGCAATATTAACAGGCTAGGTGAGCACGCACCAATTTTCTTTCCTGAGTTACCTGAAATGTAAACAATTTCTAATTTTAAATTATTTACATTAAAACTTCAAGGCCAGAACCTATCTCCCTGATCCAGCACACGTACCTTCATGACATGCATCTGTCTTTTCAAGTCTAAAATACATTATATAACTGTACCTAATGAGTTCAGAACCTTGCTCACTCAGAAGAAAACATTTCCAATTGCAAATCTCAATAGAAAATAAAAATAGAATCCGTTTTAGATAATATCGAGGAGCTGCTAATACTTAACCTCAGGATGAGCATTGAAAATCTTCCTTTTAAAGCGAGAACAGGCCTTTGCTTTTCTATTTATTGGATTTTTAGTAATATGAGCATTGTTAATACTGCAAGCAGTTACAGCCTCCACCTTGAGGGTCACTTCATGTTCCTGCTGTCAGACATGAAAGATTCTTCTCCTCTCACTAGCTCGATAAAAATCAGAAGCTGTATCCAAACACAATGAAATAGTACTTCCAAACACTTTCTCTGCAGAACGGGGATGCTACTATATAAAGAAACCCGTACACACATATATATCAGAAAATTTAACTAATAGTTACCTAAAAGAATTTAGTTTTGCTATTGTTTTACATAAACAGTCAAGAACAGGTTCAGTGGCACAGACTGATAGGCACACACGGGTCAAGACTCAGTTCGCTTGATTAGTCAGTTGATAGAAAGTCAGTAGAAGAAGCTCCATGTGCCCTCTTTTTCAGGACAGCACTATAGACAGAGTTGAAGAAGGATCTTGCGAGTCTTCTCATCCAAGTATACTGCAGATGTACAAAGTCCAGCTGCAGTTATTTAATTGTATTCAGCGGCAAGCAAAGGACAGGCTGAAATCTTATGGCAAAGTAAAAAATGAAAGAAACCTCATCTCTCAAAAAAGCATTGTCTGAGAAGGAGTGGAGGAAGGGAAGGCCATTATTTTTACAGCTGCAGTTAAGGTACCGTAGAACTTCAGGTAAGCTTAAGAACCCCAAATCTTTCTCTATCTATTCATTTTATGAGTCAACCTGTGTGTGTTCCAGACTGACTCGCAACTACGTTGACTGAGGCAGCAATATTTCACAAATCATTTTAAATCATCTGCAAGGGCTTTCCTCCTCCATGAAACATTCTTAAACCTTTCTCTCTTCACAAAAGCAAAGAAGACGAGATAGTTGTTCAGCTAGTTCAGCCTACTTGGTGTTAAACATGATTGTATTGTGTAACCAGATCACTGACAGCTTCAGCAAAAATGATTTTTCTTAGGTCAAGTAGAACATATACCTAATAAAAAATTCTGAACTGCTAGTATGAATTAATAAACAAACCTTCTGTGCTTTTTGTACTTGACAATTACAGTTTCCAGATATGACAGTACAGCTACAAATGCTCTATTACTTGACCTGCAATTTAACAACAGAGTTTTGATTTACCAGACCCCTCAGTCTGATGGAGAAGCCAGAATCCAGCGACCGCTCTCTAATGGTCTTCACTGACAAGGGAATTTTGACCTCTCTAGAGTCAACGGCAAAACATGACATGGGTCAGGATTTCACTTAATAAATGTTCATCTTCCTCTGCTGTGAAATATGCTTGGCTGTATTTTATAACGATTTGTCATGTTCTTTAATATAAGCATACAATACACTCATGAAATATTAAATACATGTAAGATTTAAAAAGTATGCATTTATGATACAGACTATCTTACTAAGCAAAAAACCACATGATGCTAAGGGACACCACGAGTCTTGCTAGATATTAGATGAGTTTATCTCAACGGTGACAAAAATAATGTGAAAGCTAGATTTTCCTGTCACCTTAAAAGATTAAGAGAGAATGGGTTTTAGAAATACCTGAAATTCTATTTTAGAATAGTTCTAAAATAAACCAATTTAATTGTAAAATAAACATGCATCCTGTCTTAACACAGATTGATGTGCATACCATGATTTTATTTATCCACTATTAAACACAACTTTATACAGTAATTTAAACATTCAGACACAAAATTGTATCACACACAGAACTCATTTGAGTTTTCTATTCCACTCTCATGAGACCCCACCTGTAGTACTGCATCCAGCTGTGGGGCCCCCAAACACAAGAAGGATATGGACGTGTTGGAGCTGATACAGAGGAGGGCCACAAAGATGATCAGAGGGCTGGAGCATCTCCCCTACAGAGACAGGCTGAGAGAGTTGGGGTTGTTCAGCCTGGAGAAGAGAAGACTTGGAGGAGACCTTATTGCAGCCTTCCAGAACTCAAAGAGTGTAGTGATAGCATGAGGGGTAACAGTTTAAAACTGAAAGAAGGTAAATTTAGATCAGATATTTGGAAGAAATCCTTTACTCTGAGTGTAGTGAGGCACTGGAAGAGGTTTCCCAGAGAAGTTGTGGATGCCCCATCCCTGGAGGTGTTCAAGGCCAGGCTGGATGGGGCTTTGAGCAACTTGGTCTAGTAGGAGGTGTCCCTGCCCATGGCAGGGAGGGTGGAACAAGGTGATCTTTAAGGTTCCTTCCAGCCCAAACCATTCTGTGATTCTATTTTCTCAGTTTTTTTGAATTACGGGAATACCCATCATAACGCGACAGAACTGAGCAATAAGGCCATGTAATATTCCAAGACCTGTAGAAGCTAAAAACGCCAGAAGGGTGATGCTAAGACAGTATTTTTTAACTTGACATTATTTTGATTCACCTACTTAAATTCTTAGTACACGTCAAAATTTAGATTCAATAGTGAATTAACTGACCAGTGAAACTCTCACGAGTTTGAAGAATCATCGACTCCGCTCCTTTTTAGATTTCCAGTTATTTTTTCATTGAAAATTTCTTCTTGATGATAATTTTATTTCAAAAGTATTTCAAAACAACATTTACAGGTTTCAGATTTTTTGGCTTTTGTTATACAAATTATATTTTAGGAGCACAATGTCCCCCCACTGAAGTCAACTGTCGTACTGTGTAATGCTGATCTCCACAAATTTAATTCACTAATGTAATTCCCTGCAGTCATAAACTATTCCTGTAAAATTATTTATCCTTCCATGGGGAATTAAACCCTGTTCTAATAACAATGATTCAGAAATACATTGAAATATCATATTTTCCCAACGATTGTGTATTTAAAACAGAACAGGTAAAAAAGATGGCAGCAACTGTACATGCCAGAGTTACTTCATTTTTAATTTGAGGAATATGCTTTATCAAATTGGTTGACCTTAACATCTCCGTGGGTGGAAAATTTCCTTATAACTTTGTTCTTCCCTCCGACACTTTTTTTTCATTAATTATGACTAGTGATCAATGTAGCCTGGACATGACTGTGCAAAATTGTCCAAGCTCTGTTGCCAGTTAGCCTCATAATCTAACCACCAAGAACAGACTATTAAAATGGCATTGGTCTGTAATTAAAATATGCTGAACAGTTCTAACTGTGTTGATGGTGCATTTACAACCTAACTACAAGTTAACTACAAATAATTCAAGATCACTGTTAGCTCACATACTGTAGGACACCAAGCCATTATCAGATTATGACAACAGAAAATGGAAAATGGTCACTTAGCTGATTAATTTCCATTTTCCAAATTTGTGTTTGTAAAACATCGGGCTGTGGCAGTCAAATTTTAATTTTATCTGTAGAAATATTTCTCTGCAGTAACTAGACAGTATTTCTAAGACAGACCTGGAAAGCACTCAAGAAAAGAGGTTTCAGAGTTGTACCATAAGAGAGTTATACCCTCCCTTTAGACTACACCAATGGCCCAAAGGAATGATAAACTCAAAGTGGTCAGCCTCCTAAGGATTTTGTCAGTAAAAATAACATCACCATATAGAGAGGAACTCACATAGTAGAAGGAACTCAAATTCCATCCTAAGTCTGGAATACAGTTCCACATTTCTGGAGAGTTTCATTTATGTTATGAGAATGGAGAAAATGGAATGAAACTGTTGCAATGTTTTGGACCCTAATTTCTAGAATTTAGTAGTAGTAGAAGCAGTCCTTCCAGGCAAAACACCATCAGACTCCCTGCTGTGTTTTGCATTAAGTCTCAAAGGCATCAAAATTGGCATAATATTTTTGTCCTTTATTCCTCCCATTCTCTTCGACCAGATGATTGTGCATTTAACTTGTTCTATGATGCTGAAGTGCTTATTACACTAAAGCTGATGAAAAATACCTACTTCAGGATACAAAAATACCTGAAGAATGAACAATCACACTTTAAGTCAGTATGGTCCTGACAGAAGGCAGATGATCAATTCTATCTACTGAACAGCCTTTTCTTTAGCACCGACGGAGTATGGATATTTGGACAGGACGTATCTGTGCTCCCATTCACCCTGCGCCTTTGTGATCAGCCTGATGTGTCCATAGCAAGGGGGACAGAAGGACATTCTTCCTTCTGCATTAACACATGGAACAGCACTTTGACGTCTGTCCAGGAGTTTTCCATATGGTGCTGGGTAATGACAGAATTAGGAAGTCCTAATTCTCAGGCATCCCCAGAAAACTGGGGATTGTGATGGACACCTGCATTTCTGAACCACTGTAGCATAGAAATACTTCTCTATCACTTTTATACATACAATTAATGAAAGCAGGTAAAGACACACAAAACTTACATAGTCATGAAAGGCTTTTGCTTCACTTGAATGTTCACATGTTTCTCGTCTTTCTGGAGCTGCACAGTAGAGATCCCAAAATACACTGCAAGTTAAGAAGTTACAGAGATAGTAAGAACATCATTGTAATACTTGTGTAGATTTTACAGTACACACACCCCACAGATGCATGTTCATATACAGAAACAGACTTAGCACTTCCTTGCCAAGGGATGAAAGCACTTACCTCTATGAAAGAATTTAGCTTTGCAAAACATTTATGAAGAATCAAGTTCTGCCATCCGATTCTCCAAGGCAAGCAGTGCTGTATTCCTTTAATACCACCATAGTATAGACCAATAAGCTAGTCTAATATACAAGGTTTGAGGGTACAAAGCATATTACGGAAGCCCTGCATTTAACCTCATCCCTCTGGCAACTGCTGCAATTAACTTCCCCAAAGCATGGGAAGGGACAGATTTGTAATAACATAAAAAGGAAAGAAACTGCAGAGAAAACTGGGAGTTCTTCCAATGTCCAATACTGTGCTTTAAACAAAAGTTGCCAGAGAAACAGGTGTGTGGACAAGAGTAGGAAATAGATGGGTATGTTCTTGCGTTATAAAGAGTAAGAGGAAATTATGGTACTCCCATCGGTCTTCCTCCCCAACCAACTTTAAATAGAGTTGCGCACAAATAAGTTTTGGCACAAAGTTTCTGGAATGAAATTATGTGTATGCTAGAACAATTAAAAGAATAAAATTTGTTAAAAATTTCATAGAATTTCTTTATTGTTTTAGACTTAATCCTCTGTAACTTAGTCCAGCACCCTAATAATGAATTGTGGAAAATTTGAGCATTCTGCTGCAGACGATCAAAATTAAGGATAATGCAGACATCAGACTCAGAAAGAGCACATTATCCTTGCCAGGCTTCCATCACACAGCTAAAAGCTATGAAAGAAAGGTAAATGAAGAGTATGCCACCTTCCATGCAGCTGTACACATCAGTCGGGTTTGAATGGGACCACTTTGAAACTTGTAAATTCTTGTACTCCTGACGGTTGGGCATATTCTCTGTATTTTGTATTCTTTCGAACTAAGGCATGTTGGATATATTCAAAACAAATAAATAGCATGGCTGAATAGCAGTGACTATGAGCACTCTTTTCTCCCTGGGGATTCCACACACACACGTGTGTCTGCACACCAGTATGTATCAACAAATGGTATCACACATAAAAAAATTACAAGTCAACACCATCTCTACCCATCTTATGAGCTGAGAGAAATTGTGCAAATGCAGACGTACACTGCAGCAACAAGCCCATGCTAATGCACACTGCTTCCCAAGAAGGCTGGTAGCTTGAGTTCAGCTAATTACTTTCATATGCTGTTCCCGTGACTAGAATGCGGACTGAAGACTGACGAAGCTCACATCTACATGCAGTCTCTGTATATACTGTTTTTTTCAAATGTAATTATTTAGGATATGTAGAATGTTCTGTTAAATGCACAATTTACTGGAGGGTGGTGAAGAAAGAAACACAGGCCATCTTCTTTCAAAGATGTTTTCCTATCAATGTACTATGCAATATTTCTTTTCCTATATCTAATATCTGTTATCGTCTTCTACATCTAATTTTCTGTTCTTTCATTTCTTAACAAGAAAATGGTTCTTGAACCTCACCTTCACATGCCTTTTACAATGTTCACCTGAATTTCTTGCCTCCAGCTGCTGGAACTAGTAATTGACATATTCTAAAAATCAGAGGAAAAGAAAATTGGTACTTACCACCACCAGGAGTGCAAGAATCCTGGGGGCTCCCCCAGTGTGATGTTTTTTTCCCATCTTATCTAAAACAAAACAATAAAAACTGAGGTGTACATTTTTGTGATCATTGTGACTAAAAGGCATTACATAATTTATGCAGAAAGCAAAAAGAGAAAGAAGAAAAGATTTCATAGTTCTGAAAGACTTTATCATCCTCAATCTGGATGGCCATATTACTTACTTATTACACTTATTAATATAGCTGATTAATTACACTTATTAATATAGCTGATACTTAAAATAAGCTTTGCTTACTCTAGGAAAGCAAATTCTAGAATATTATTTTTAGATTCTGAATAGAATTTCATTAATGACATATTTTGTATCACTCCATCACTGAGACGTGCATTATTTTAAGGTCAAAAGCACATGACCCCCCCCCAAAAAAAATGTTAAAAAGTAGCCTTAAGATGATCTAAAAGATTTTCCAGTTTGCACTAAGGAAAACATTGAAGACACAGAACTGATGTTACTGATTCAGCAGGTGGCAGTCTTCCCTCCGCATCCAAAGCGAGACAGTGTTTTATAATCCTCAAAGAGTGCTTTACTGGTAGAGATAGTGTGGCAAATACGAGCAGCATCGGAGTTATAACCCAGCTTCCCACCACGCGTTGAAAATGGAAAGCTAGCTTGGCTTCTTTTGCGAGCGCCGGCAACCTCTCCCGAACGGAGCTGTACTGGCTATGATTTCTCTCCCACCTAGGAAGCATTGTTTGTTTAACACTGTTTTCAGAGGAAATGCAGTTTAAGAACTCTTACCCTTGCCTTCGCATTTTTGTTTTTGATCAGTGAACCCGTTAGACGACACAGCACACAGTGACAGCGTTCTGTGTCTCTGCAATACTTCTCAAATGGTGCATCTTAACTATGATCACACATCCATTTTATGAATGCCACAGCCATTAGTTTGTCCCTAACTACAAAACTAAACAGTTTGGACTACAATAAAGCTTATGATGGAGCTCTGTTGGAAGTAACTGGAGGTCCTGCAGAAATCCACACAACACTGTACAGAAGAATGCCTCATGTTAAAACTGGGTGAAACTAGGGCAATGCATGCACTTTCCAGTTACAACTACACATAGCATTATTTCCTGTCCAATTTTGTTAAAAAAAATTGTTCAAACACAAACCATATTCTGCTCTAGAGTCAGAAGTAACACCAGGCAAAAAGAGGATTGTTTTAATGAAATGCTTAAACATCCTTAACATGAAAGTTATTTAAATATATATATATAAAAGTACTCAAAAGCTTGCTAAAAAAGGTAGGTACGGTGTTCAGAATGCAAGAGGAAGTGGTAAAATTGGCACTTTCCAAAAGAGACTAAAACTCTGATTCTCAACTGAGACATCCAATTCTTAAGAAATTAAACATATACAAGTTCTGTCAATAGCTTGCAGGAGAAGTATTCATACACCTAAAAATGTTCTTTGCACTCACATGAAATAACCTAGCATAATTTTGATATATTTTTTGAATACAACTATTCAAAAATGATTTTGCTGTTTAAAAATTATTTTTAGAAGGTAACCGAGACACTATCACCTCTGTTTGTAAAGCTGGCAGAATGAACCAACTGCATGGCATTTACCCGCATCACCACCATGTAACAGTAGTTAATATCTAAAAAGCATCTTTTAAAAAGCTCCTGCTTAAGTGCTGGCAGATAAAAATATTAATAAAAGTGAAAAATGTAAATAAAACTCAAAGCTGCTACAAAACCATTACACATTCTTCAAATACACTCCTCTCAGGCATGACTGCTCCTCATATGCACTGGGATTGGCTTGGAAGGACTTGTGTTAATCGCCAGAAGACACAGTAGTTCTGAGAAGTTTCAAAAGCAGCATAATGAAGAGGTGCAATGTACAAGCAAAACAAAAATTGCTCCTGATGTTGAAAAACCATTCAGTTAAGAGTAAAAATTATGTCTGTGTAGAAAGCCCTCACTATGTCTAAGCAGTAGCTAGTATTCAAAGCAGGTCTTGAAGAGCAAGATACCCATTTCACAGGTCTTATACTGGTCCTTTTTAACAGGAGATATCATCTTTGAGAAATCTATTCAGAGAAGAAGCCTGAAGGAAATATAGAAGTTTGAGGCTTGTTTGACAGGGGTTTGTTTTCTTTTTCAAAAAATACATACTTCTGTTTCACGTGGCAGATGTCAGTCTGTCTGATTACAGAGTCTTAAAAAGATTTATAGAGAGTCATTAATTTCAGAAAAATACCTGAATTGTCAACTGTATTGATTAAGCTCATAACCAGTGATTAACTGGAAAATGCCTGCCTACCCAGTCCAGCCAAGCTAATGGGAATTATTTGTCCAAGGCTATAACCTAACTTCAAGGATAGAAAATACATGGGATAAGGATCAGCTCTTCAAGGAAGATGTGGCAGCTGGGACACCAAAGAAAAGATTCTGGAGCAGAACAGCTTCTTTTGTTTCAAGAATGTGTGTACCTTATCTGAATAGCTCTATTCAACCTTCATAAGCAATGACATGCTTTAGATGAAAGCTAGTTGTGCTATAGCCTCTTGCCATTTTGCCAATTGTATGATGAATTGGTATGAAACAGCTGTTGAGTTACTTCAACCCAGTACTTCATGCCACGTCTCCTGAAACCAAGTAAATTTGCTTATCAAGATACAAGACATAGCCAACAAATTGAAGAGGTCCCTGCTATCAAGAGATCCAGAACAATGCTAGACGAGCGTGAGGTTCTATGTTTTAGAGATGAAGGCAACAAAGCTTTGAAGGCTGTACTCAACAAGGACCACAGTTCACCTTCTAAGTGAAAGATAGGCAGAGGACCTCTAGACCTTACTGACTCATAGCATCATGGAATCAACGAACAGCTCAGCTTGGAAGGGACCATGAAAGACCATCTGCTACAGCCCTTCGTGTGAAAGGGAGCCTAGATGAGATTACCTAGCACCCTGTTAGGTGTGTCTTGAAAACCTGCAGCAATGGGGACTCTACCACATCCCTGAGGAGGTTGTTTCAGTGAATGGTTGTTCTCACTGTAAAAAAAAATAAATTCTTTCTCATATCAAGATGAAATTCCTCCCTGTGCAACTTGTACCTGTTGCCTCTTGTCTTCTCCATGTGGTTCCTTATGAGGGGATAGCCTCTGCCCTCTTTGTAGCCACCCTTTAAGTACTAGAACACTGTGATGAGGTCCCCCCTGAGCCTTCTCTTCCCCAAGGAGAAAAGTCTTTATAGGGCAGGTTCTCCAGCCCTTGGACTTGTGGATCAGTTCTGTGAAATTTAAGCTAGACACAAAGCATTACAAAAATACAGGAATTCTTAGGACAACCATCTCTAAGTTATCTAGTAGCAGAGTGGACCCCATGATAGTTGACCTAAATTTTCCTTTCTTAATTTTGTTCCGTTACTCTTTGCCACATTCCCTGGTAGATCTTTAAGAAAGAGCTCTTAACCTTTGTAATTTATACATATATAGACACCACTGACTGCTGTATAGCTCAGACAATCTATGTATGCTTACTTCTTTTATGCCTCAACATTCAGTTTTAGAGCTACTCTGAACTACCTCATCTTTAATCAAATCCACCCAAATTATTTTGGAAGGTTCAGACTGCCAGTGCAGAGATGGCACTGAGCCCAAACAGCCATGCTTTTTAAAGAGGGACCAATACAAATTTCCTCCTATGCCATCTGGGTGTCTCCTACACCTGAAATATTCTCACAACAAGCTCACCGCAACAGGGCAGTTGCTTCTCAACAGCTGTGAGCCAGAAAAGGACGAAAACACATGGAAAATCGTAACTTTCATTACAGCATAAATTCACTAGAAGATTTTTTTTTTTTTTTTGCACTTCTCTCAACTGATGTTCTCTTGTTTTGATCCCATATGCCAATACTCAGCCTGTAAGAAAAACAGCTGACTCACATGAGGTACAGAGTTGGGGTAGAGCTATTTGTGGTTTACAGCCCAGAACTGCATGGGCGTTACAATGTTAAGACCCGCCTATGACACGTTTTAGTTTATTTTCTCCAAGGCTTATTAGTGTACAGTTTTCTCAATCTGAACCTGTCTGCCCAAATATAATTTCTACCAGGTTTCTCTGTATCAGTGGTAACCGCTTCTGGTTCCAACATACAACCAGTCACAAGTATTGTCGGCATAGTTTACCCTTCTGCACTGCTAATGAATAAGGTAAATAAACTCACAGATATCTGTGAAATCTTACAGACATCTCATACCATCTCTATACATTATTTGTCCCTGCCCCATGTTTACCATCTTTTGGCTAGTATCGTTCTTGATTTGAAAGATTTGATGCAAATTCTCATATCACAGTCATTCAGACCTGACAGTTTCTCTATAACCAAAGACTGAATTAGTTTTAGAAGTTTCAAGATACTGTATTGAATGTTTTCTAGAAACCCAAACGTCGTACCAGTTACATTTCTGCCAACTGCTCATTTTGCAAATACATCATAAAACCAAAACGAGCAAAATGAATCTTGCACAGTGTATTATTTACAAATGACAGCTATTTTGGGAAAGCCAAGATGACAGTCTCCATTATTTTCTTGCTTATCTTTCCATTGCTTTACCAAAGAGAAAAAACAATTGTCAAAAACATAACATTACTATAAACTGATGCTACCACAATTCTACCCCTTTTCCTTATCTCTGCTATGTGAATTTTCTACAAACACCAAAAAAAACCCCGCTCTGAGTTCTCACTCTCCCTTCTCCCACTTCCAAAATGTCATCACCAGTGTAGTAATTTTATTAGCTTTTGGAGGAGTATCTGTTTAAAGCAGCAAATTTTCCTAGTACTTCTTGCCTATTTTTTTCCTCACTCCTGCTCACTATTCAACTATTATCTTAAATGTTGTCATCAAAGAAAGATTAAAAACAATAATAAATCCAAAAGACCTCAATATGTTTGGTATACATGTATTTTTGTACCCCAGTGTAAATGTAAAATGCTAAGGAGACATAATTTACTTCAACCTTCAAAAGATGTACACAAAGTCTTTGAAAGACTATGAAAAACAGTAACTACTGCACAAAAGGAAAAATTCCATTAGCAGTTGAAACTTTTTAAGAATCTGGACCTACGCGGTTGTAGTCATAATTGATTCGCCATATGAAAAGAAGTGAAGCGGTCAGAAGCACAGCAAGAATACACAGAGAGATCAGCAATCCTTAAGAGAACAAGAACTGCAACTGTATGGCAGTGGGATGTGAAATACATGACCGTTGTGTACTTTGGAGGGGTACATCATTCACAATTGGAGATATCAACAGTAAGTTAGAAGGTCATCAAAAAGAGTACCATCAATGCATTGTCTAACATGCACCTTTTACAGAAAATAGATTAATTCTTTCCCAATGTAATGGCAAATCACAGAATAGGGATAACAAATCACAGCAAAAAACAGTCATGCAGAGGCATGTTAAATGACATGACAAACAGGCTTCTGCAGAATCAGAAATCTATGCTGGTCAATGTAAACAGAAATTCAAGGTTGTCACTGCTGTTTATTCTAGACCAACATATATTTATTTCACTTCCACACACTGGAAAGTTGTGTAAGGAAAAAAAGCATGGGGAAACATACCTCTGATAAAAACGTCTGCGCCGATTTCTGTGCTCCTACATGGAGCAGATATTCATATACGTACAGCGCTAATCTGAAAAACAAACAGAAAGGACAATATTTAGAATTGTGCATTTGTTTGTTCCTCTTCTTTAGAAACAAAGGATTACCAGAAGTTTGAGGTGCCCTCTATCGCCTTTCACAAGCCGCTATACACTGAACATGTCAAATCTATTATCTATACCAGAACTTTTAAACTACACATGTAGGTCAATCTGAGCAGAGGTGTTTAAATAGTAGTTAATTAAATATTATTAAACCCTCAAATTACTTCATGTCAACATTTTTAATGATATTTGGACAAGTGCCCAGTGAGCTAACAACTGACCTACTGCTGCTCTGTGTTTGCCCACTCCATACTGTGCTTATTGTAAATACGATATATACATACAGCAACACCCATTAATTTTCCAGATGAATTTTTTTTAAAAAAAAAAAAGTGGAATGTGCCAAGCTGTTAGCACGCTTGGACAATACCCCGTGTTTGTTCAAAGAATGTGCAAACTTTGGACTGCATCAGGAACAGTAACCCCAGCATTCATCAGCGGGCACACAGGCAGCCACATCTCTCAAACAAAGCGCAAACGGAGTTTTTAGATTCATTCAGACTTGTGCACGTAGGAGCTCCAACGACAACAGAGCTACAAACGAACTCCCACAGCTCCCGAAGGAGCTTCCGAAAAAGTGATCTTCAGCACCCAGGCACATCTCCAACTAAGTCCAAAGAGCTGGAATAGGGATCTCACTGCAGAAAGAGGACCCACTCCCCAAAGGACTACACACCGCAGCTCAGGCTGGGATGCCCCGTTCAGCAACCAGAACAGGGGAGCTGTAACGACAACCAATTGATAGAGGCTATGTAGGCTAGATTTAAATTAGAAAACGAAAGAAGTAACACTTCCCATTCCTCGGCTGACTCTCCAGAGATGCTCCCATCTGTCTGCATGTTTCAAGTCTTTCAAAATGAAATCTCGTTTTAAAAGAATGATTTAATAATAATGCTTGGAAATTGTCTATAAAACATTTCAGTCCAAGAAAAGAAAGAAAGTCAGGCTGTGTGCCTTTTAAATTTGCAAGCTGAACTGTTTTTAAGAAGTAAAATGTATTTGCATGCACTTTGTGATACACCACTATTCTTATTTGAAACTTTTTACTGTTCCTATTCAAAAGTTTGTAGTTTAACTAAACAAAATAGAGAGGCAGAGAATATCTATTTTCCTGTTACTGTTCAAAACGTTATGCAGTATTAGATGAGATAACTGTCACCATGGCACTGACAGAGTAGTAATTATTGCAGTAACCTATTAAGTGTGAAATTTTAAAATCTAGGAGAGGCATTCCATAAAAATTGTTTTCACTAGTTATTTATACTTTGTACATGCAACACACATACTACTTTACTCTCTCCAACTTCAAAAGCAAAAATTTGCTTTTTCCCTCAAATTAAAAAAAAAAAAAATCAAATTGATATTCAAACATGTGACTGATTTTAGCTTGAACCTTGAGAAGGGTCGTGTCTACTTTTTAATTCCCGTATTTTACAAAACAGTATTGTGCCATATGAACAAATGCAGAGCTCAGCCTGCTGAGCAGAAAGCACCTGGTTCTTCTAATGGAGCACAGTACCATCCAGTGCTTAACTGCGAAGCAGCTCAGAGAGGACACAGTGATACGCCTCTTAAGTACTCTGAAGAGAGAAAGGACCGCGTACTCTCATCCTAAAAGCACAACTGCACTTGTCAAAAAAAAAAAAAAAAAGGTCACATCTTGGTGACTTAATTCCTCCCAGTTCAACTATCATTCAATTTTTAAGCAATAAATAGTTGTAGACAAAATCTAAGAAAGACGTAACAGGCACAAAGGAAGCACTTTCTACAATGGCTGAGATGACCTGAATACCCAGTAACGCTTTAAAGCATCTCATTCGTCTTCCAAGATTCCCTTTTTTGTTCTTATTGAAACGTGAAGCCTGCAGTCCAGATAAAAGGATTTGCGTGATCATATCCTTTCTACCCCACGAAGGAAAGCAAGACAGCACAAACACAGGAGTTTACTGCAGGCACACACCACCTTCATAAGCCTGCCATCTGTTGAAAGCTTTAGCAAACACTGCACCCCAATACCCAAATTCACAGCGCAATACTTTAATATTGAGAAAGATTTGTGAGCCTCATCTACCTGCACAGCACTGCACATGCAGCCGTGCTCCAGCGCAAGACAACATCGCTACCCTCTGCCCGTCTTCACCCATCCAAAATGTCAAAGACATTTCAGCACTGCAAAAAAAGACAACCCTAAAACTTTGACTTAAGAACATAGAATGTGCTACTTAAGCATAACTAAAACTATAACATCTCTAACTCTTTAATATGCATTATTACATCTTCGTCCAACATACTAGCAATGAAATGAAGTGGTGAAACGACTGTGCTTATTAAGTGTGGGGGGTAAACACGGCAGATTTCAGGAGAAGAATAAATATTCCACTTTTTAGGCTTCCAAGTTGATCCACCTGTGGTAAATTAAGAGCAGGACGATGCTGGCGAGGGGACTGCCTGGCTCCTGTGACAGGAAAGCCAGGACCACCTTCCACGAACAGATGTGAGACAGAAGGCACAACACAAAATAACCTGATTGGGTCTTATTAGATCTAAATTGCCGATCCATCCCTAGTTATTATGCTGTCAGGAAGTCTTTACAGAAGTTAACGATGTTACAGCTTCATTGAGAAATAAATGCATTTACCACAGAGATCAAAAGAAAGATACTAATGTTTTACTGCCTTAGCTGCAGCAAAAAGACCAATGGAAACTGATGCTCTGACGTAAGACACCAAAGAAACACAAAAAAGAGGCAACAAGCAAGATTACCAGATATAGAAAACTTTAACTACAGCATAAAACTAGAATAAGATAAAAATGGCTACAGTCCAAGCGTGTAAAAGTAACAGGTTAATTAACTATTTAACACCTGAGCAGAAGACTAAGAAAATAATAGTGAGATGGTCTTCTACACCAAAGGACTTGGGTTTGAAGTGGCATTTTAAAAGACAGTTTTTACTCATTAAACTGGTGTGAGAAACCGTGTAAAAGCAGCAAGGAAACATATGTTAAATTTTCACATTTGCATACTTGTTGACATCCCATGAGTAATGTGAAGAAAAAATATTTCCAATCAACTTGTGACAACATTGAAGTAATTTTTGTTATAGACATGCAAGAGGCCAGAGTCCCCCTTCCCTGCCAAGACAGTTAGATTACACATTAATCCATGTTTTCAAAATACATTCAGGCTGTTAAAAAAAAAAAAAAAAAAAAAGGAGGAAAAAGAAGAGTTACTGTCTAGCTCTTACTGCTACGGTGCTTAATTTTGCTAAGCTGGTATGTTTTGCCTGAAGTTTCTGCTCTAATTGAACAAGGCATTCATACATCCTACAAGTACCTACTGAACACCAAGGAGAAGAATCATTATCAGTTCTAGCCAACCAGTTATCAGAATATTACCAGGAAATAAACAGTAGTCACGCTAACGGTGCTGTGGAAAAGACCTTCTTACATGTTAAAGTGGGAAGATGCAATTAGCTTAACAAGAACTTACAACCAAAGCCTTGCAGCAGTATGTCCATTGATGAAAACCAGGTGGTAAACTCCCACAATTCCAAGTTAAAAGATTAAGATACCACCTAACTTTCCATAAAAGCCAGTGAAAACCTGAAAGCACCAGCACCTTATCTGTTTTTGGTATCTAACTCTGGTGTTCACACTCCCTGCACCACCCCGGCAAGCTTCATTGACTATACGTAGAGTACGCAACCAGCTGTTCAGATGAACATACACCTAGAGAAGAAGGGCTCAAGATATTATTACTAAGCCTTTCAGGAAATAATTTGTCCATAAAAGGTAAAACAGCAGTATCTTTGTTTTGTGTACCGAGAAAGTTTCTGTCTCTCAATCTAAGACTGACCTCCAAGCACTGAGTTTGGTTTATTGTTATTTCTAAGGAGACAAAGAAGAAAAGGAGAACGGTCGCATTTTTCCATGAAGTTCAAAAGCTGGGCTTAGAAGAGCAAGGAATTGCAATAAATTAGCTTCTGCTTTCTCTTGAAAACTGCCCAGTAAACCTGCCAGAAGCAGGCAACTATTACACACAGCTCCATGCAGTTGAGAAGTGCAGTTGCTTTCATTGTTTTATTAGCCACGTGTCATAACTAAAAATATATGTAATTTAACTGAGGGTACAGTGGTGTACAACCATTATCCAGAAAGTTATAAAATCAATGTGACGGAGTAAGAGCCTGCAGCTCCCCAGCTTTGGCAGCGTGTCAAAGCACAGTTCAGGTACTGTACCTGCCTTCTGCAGCACTGACACTCGGCTTAATCACGCTGATAAAGCCATACAAAATCTACACCACAAATTCTACAACAGTGAATGACTGCGCATCACTGAAATGTCCCTAGATGCTACCATCTCCTCTGCCAGCAACAGGCATTATGCTGTTAACATCTGATGCTGGATTAAAAAAAAAAAAAAAAAAAAAAAGTATCTGTAATGGGAACGTTCCAGCAGAATCCAAGCATTTTTGGATTGTTAAGACTTGATTTTTTAAAACTATTTATGTATGGATGAAGTTCAGCATATGACACATGATCTTTAACTTTTTGGTTTTTTAAACAGTAATTAAAAAACACAATGAAAATCAGTAAATCAATATCCCTACATAATTTTTAGTTTGTGTGAAGAAGAGGCAGCTGAGCAACACTTAAAAGCAGCTCCACAGAAAAGATCTTAAATGTTCCTGTCTGTGTTTCAGGAGACTTGCAGTATTCCAAAGTTACTACTCTAACCTATACAGAAAAGCAGGTTTTTTTGTTTCCAAAAAGGTATACAGACTTCAAGAAACTGAGGAATCTCACTCATTTAATATCCAAAATATAAAACTCATTCTCTGAAATAAGAGAAAGTAGCACTGAATCTGTATATCAAATACAGTACAACAGCTAAAAACATCTCAAACTTCAGGTTTCTTGAAAAAAT